TTTGATTTCCAGTGTGAATGAGCTTGGCCATGCGGACAATCTCCCTCCCTGCCCTGGGTGCTTGGCTTTGTGTATTGGGTACAAAGTACTCCTGTCAGAGTCTGGCCATCCTTTGTGCCCCCCTTGAGATGCTGTGAATCATGGGGCTCATGGCCCTGATGAATCTGTGGCTGGGGCAGGAATCAACACCCATCTCCCCTGATGCTTGGCACTGTGCTCCAGTGCCTGCCCACTCTCCCTGTACCCATGGCGTGCATGAGAAGCTGCCAGACGGGTGCTTCCTGAAAACGCAGGAGAGTGGTGGCCAGGCTTGATGGAAACGGTGATTCAGCTCACCTGAAAGAGAGCAAAGAGGCCCTGGGACATGCAGCCCTGTCTCTCACAGAGCCGCAGCTCATGGCACCATGACGGGTGTCGTCTCCCTGCTGTGTGGTCCCCCCAGCTGCTGGCACTTGAGTGTCTGGGTCATATCTGCTGCCAGGGAATGGCTGCTGGCATGTCCCTGCCTCCTCCTGCCTCACAAAGGCATCCCAAGTCTGCCATGGGGAGTTTGGGGCCTCATCTAATTCAGAGCAGAGAAAATGGACAGCACAGCACTGCCGTTCAGGTGAGGCACCTAGCTCCTTCCCATGTGTATTCTGCATTTCTGTTACAGGCTATGGAGGCCAGTTTCAACTCCTTTAATAGGAACGTTCAGATCTTAGGTCCACTATTTTGGCTGTGTCAGGGCTGTGTGCTCTGTCACTGAACAGTGAAAGCAGACGCTTGCTTGGCTCCTTGTCAACGCCCAGCCTCAGCACAGATAAGTGCTGTCCCTGGGTTAACAGAAGATGCCTTGCAAGCAACACAACCAATAAAGACTTTATTTATTTATTTATTTATTTATTTATTTATTTATTTATTTATTTATTCTGAGGGATTTGGGGCCTCCTCCCCACAGCAACCCCAGCCTCCAGTGCATGTCCTGTGGTGCTTCCATCTCAGCCCTGGGGTCCATGTTCCTGCGGCGTCCCTGTCGTTCCCCAGCTCTCTTCCATGTCACCTCCCCATGATAGTTGGAGAGGAGAGGGTCTGTGCCATCTGGGTGGCCACCAGCTCTTACAGACCTTGTAAGGAGTTTTCCCTCCAAGAGCTCTGCCCATCTGCCAAATTTTGTTGAGCATTGACAAAACTGGTGAGTTGTGGATGTGGACCAGGAGACAGCAGGACGATGCCGACCGATTTCCACAGGAATTGTGTGTGTGTGTGGCAGATGTTGTGTTTCTTGGGTGGGACTGGGCCTGCTGGCTGTCGCCTCCTTGGTCTGCTCAGCACATGGCCGCCGGTGTCCCCATGAAATGGAAAGGCCCAGGATTATCTCGCAGGAAGGTCTGTCCTTGTGAAGTGCACTGCCTGGAGAGGGCAGCTTTGAAGTCCTGACTGCCGCTGGCTTGTTGCTATAAATACATGGAGCGAGCACTTTTGTGCTTGGAGCATTTCTGGCCGCACAACAAAGGGGGAGGAAGCGAACAAATGGAGCGCTGTGGGAAGAAGTTAAATGGAGCACCATGTGGGGAGCTCCAATCAAAGCATCACTGGGTGACTTCCCTTCTATTTCGGGGAAACAGGGTGGGAGCTCAGCTCTGCACCACACGGGAGCTCGGTGCTGAGTTGAGGCCATGGCGAGTGCACGTGCAGTGGGCTAGCATCGTCTAATGGACACGTGCAAATGTCAGCACCCCCAAAATCATCCCCTCTGCACTCCAAGAGAGTGAAGCATGTGCACTGCCAGTCTCTGTGTGTGTGGGGGGTGAGCATTTATCCAAAGAGGCTCCTAAAAATCAAGAATTCACAGAAAAAAAAAAAAAGACAAATCTCTCTCTCTCTCTTTTTTTTTTTTTTCAAGAGCAGAATTTTGGGGTGGGAAAAGAGGATTTGTCTGGGGAAACCTGGATGTACAATAACCCCTGTCACCACCAACACCTTGTTAGCTAAGCTGAAGGTTGTTTCTTGAGCCACACTTGGAGGCTGTTGAGGTATCAGGACACTCGGAGCTTCCTCTCAGAGTCCTGAAGATGTCCTCTTGGATGGTGAGGCCCAGCTCAGCCAAATTAGTGGGACATGTAGAAGAATGGGGTCTGACTTCCTCTGCTCATTAACAGAGTTACCTGGGTTAACATCCCTCCAACACTCCTCAAATCTATTTTTTTTTCATTTTCTTCTGAGTGATGAGTGATTAGATCATTCAGAAACTGCTAGGAACGCAGTAGACCAATCCCTCCCTGCCCTGGACTCTTTTCATGACTAGCATTTCAAGGTGCACAACAACATGGATGTGTATGGTTTTGTTTGCCGTAACCCATCTTGCCCTCTTTGTCTTTACAAAGCATGAGAGCTGTGGCTGGTTTATTGCAGGATGTGGAATCTGTCCTCCCGCTCTCCCAGAAACACAGAGATAAGCTGGTGGCTACTGGAGAGAAAACGTGCTTTGATTTCCATGTAATCAGAGTTTGATTTGACTGCATGCAAACTGTGTTAAAGTGCAGTGGAACTCATCGTAATCTCTGGCTGACATTCCTAAGTACATTCATCTGATAGACGTGAAATGAGTTGGACTTAAATTCAAAAACTTTATTTTCCTGGCTAAAATCTGTGCAAGAGTAAAATGAAAACTGCACAATCATGCAAGGCAGGAGGAGGGACTGCTGATAGGAGATGTCTGAAATGCTGGCTTTCAGCAATGAAACCTCTGTAGGGAAGCTAGAGAAGATGCTTCAGAACCTTACTGGGAGAGTTTTCGTATCTGACACCATATTTTCTTTGCTTTTATTATTCGTATGTTGCTGTGTTTCCAGGCAAGTTGCCTTTTGGAGGGTGCTGTTTTCTTCTCTGTTTCTCCATTGCTAAAAGCTTCTGCTGCTCTCTTCGGAAAAATTAAGCTAACGTAGACATTAAATCTGCAAAGTTTGCAAGTCATCACATTTTGCAGAGTCTTAACCGGTTCCGTGTGTGGGTTGGGCTGGACTTCACTCCGTGCCTCATGTAGACACCTCCACAATGTAAGGGGTGGCAGAGCCCTCGTCCTGCAACTGGCTGCAGCAGAACAAGCGGGCTTGCCTGCATCGGTCAAAAGCCTGGTCAAAAGCCTCTCACCCACGTCTCCTTCATCCACCAGGCTTTAACTCGGCTGGCCACCTGTTTCCTTCCACCACAGCCCCACAGGCGCCCCTTAAGGAACTCCAGGGATTGTTCTGAAGTTTGAGTTTATCCAAATGTTCAATGGCTTGAGATCGGAAAACAATACTTGCAAGCTCTTACATCTGGGAGGGTGGTGTCTTCACCAGATGAGATTGAAAAGTATTCCTCTCCAGCTGTGTGGTGCTGAGAGTATGGGTCAATTCCCAGCCTTTTCCCCCAAGAAGACTTCATTTTACAGTTCTTCTTCACCTTTTTATTCTAGTCCTTTCAGTGATAACTGGGCTATACTTCCCTGATAGGACTGCTCAGGATTTAGACATGTGATAGTCGTAAGGCTTCATTTTTTATCCCAAGCTACATGGCACATCAGAAGGTTCCCATTGAAACCAGGGGAGAGAAAAGATAGAGGGCTGCTTTCACCCCAGAGAACTTTGTTAGTGATTTGCCTGTTCACCACAGACATGTGCCTCCCATCTAGTTATTCTTAAAAAAAACATCTTGTCTCAAGTTTAGGTTCTCGTCCTTGATATAGACATGACTTACAATGGAGGAGAGATGATGGGAGAAAGGAACTGATCTTCTTTTTATGCAGACCTCTTGGTGCATTAACATCCACAGCTTAGCTACCTTATTTTTCTGTAGACCTGAGAATCCACCAGAGTCAGATTGCTGTAAGAAAGATCTGAGCCTGTTTTAAAGCCCTTGTTCCATTATAGATAGCATTTCCTCTCTGCCCAGTATTTAGAAAAACATTGTTAACAAAAAATTAATTTTAGTTTCATGACATAAATATGGACCTCAGGAGCACCAAAATTCCCCCTTTTTATACACAAACTGTATTTCTTTAAATAAGCATGTGTACAGTCTATATACATGGGAAGGGTCACAGCTGTACGTATGTAGGTACCCAGGGCACTGACAGAATAAAACCAAATTAAATCTAGTCCAACACTTGCAAAAGATTCTCTTAAACTTCAGATGGATGCAAAAAGGAGCAAGAAGGAAATAATGTGGCTAGCAGTGGTCAGTAGAAAACAAATATTTGGAGGAAATCAGAGATGAGATTTTCTGGAGCACTGCTGCTTCACTGTGTGCTGGCCATGTAATCTGGCCATAAAGCCAGCCTGAGTGATTAGGAGAGGGTGCTTCAGGGCACAGTTGTCCTCAGATAGCTGACTGCCAGCAATTACATGTATACCCTTTGCACCTGGCATAACAGATACAAAGGTGAGACTGGAAAAAAAAAAAAAAGTGATCCAGCTGTAACTGCCTAATCGGAACAGCACCAAGAGTGAGCTGATGTAAACAGGGACTTGAAACTACCTTCACACATGTAAGGTAAAGGTAGTTTACCTCTGACGTGTCTTATGCTGCTGACAGCATTAAAAATGGGGATCTGGGTCTGTAGAAAGGGAGACCTTAGAGAAACAGAGACCAGGGAAAGCACTGTCACTGTTGGGGGAATGGCAGGAGCTAGCGAAGCAAAATAGCTACTGCCTCAGCATTAACTGCTATGTTTTCTTTTGAATTGGGTTAGAAAGCTTGATTTCATGATATATATATATTTTAAACTCCTTGCGGACTACTTTAAGCAGATCTGTATATTCCAAATTTGACTTACCTAATGGGGAAAAAAGTATACATCCTTTCCACTCATTTAAAAACAATTAGATTTATGCATCTTTTATAACATCAGCACTGCAGAAGACAGCAGGACAGACGAAGGGGGCTGTGGACCTGGAAGAGAGAAAGCTGAACAATTACAGCAAAGATTTTTCCTGTATTTGCGAGTCCCAGCATGGGCCAGGCAGGTGCTAATTGCAAAACATGTCCATCCCCAGTCCCCTGGTGACTGAGGAGAGGTTAATTCCGTGGTACTGGGTGCAGCAGCGGACTGGAGGCAGTCCCTGGAGCGCTTTTGGCAGACTTGGCAGCTGTTTTGCCATAGGGAGGACAGGGTTAACAAATTCAGGTTTTGCATTTTTTGACGGTTGCACTACTGACTGGGATCTTGGCATCTTGTCCTGTTATGAGGAAACCCGATAGGCAGTATTTGGGTTGCTCGACCCACGTGTGCCGCGGGTGTTCAGTACGTACCGCTCCATAGCCGTGCCGGGAGGGTGTCTGCCACCCTGCAACAGGTACCAGCTGGCTGATATCTTTCTTTTCCTCCGGCCATTACAAGGCACGATCAGGTTAGTCCTTGCAGAGTTCCTGGAAGCCGTTTTAGCTATAATTGGATTGCACGAGGCTTGGCCTTTCGCCTTCTCGTCCGGCTATCTGAACCAATGCAGAAGGAAAAGCAATGCTGGTGGGGAGGGGACTGGCTGTGGTGACCAGGGGTGACTAACACGTTGTGGAAAACAGTGCTCCCCCAAACTTGTTTTCCTTTAGAGTGAAAATGAGACGCTGGGATGTTTGTGGTTGGTGGAACAAACATGGGACAGACACCTCCTGTAGCAGTGTGGAGCTGAGCCTCCCACAAGCTGTTTTTAAATGTTTGGAAATAAGAGGCCGAATGTTTTCAATACCTTCCCAGGCAGAAACAAACAATTCAACACTTCTTAACTGGTGGAAGATTAGTACCAAATTCAGGGTGAAATGGTTTGGTATTTATAAATGAAAGAAATTTTCCCAAACATGTAAATAACTGTGTTGCCTCAAAAATGCAGCCTCTCCCAGCCCAACCCCTTGTCAGGGAGCTTCACCTTGGCTGCTTCACCCACCGAAACATTGCTGCTTCCAGCACCCAGACGTTTACCTTGGGAAGAACCAAGCTAACATGAGAGCCCAAGTTTGTTGTACAGCCTGTGGAGAGAAATAGGCAACCAAAACAGCTATTCTCGGGGCCTAAGTTATTTCCTCTTCATTCCCCTCCTAAGGTTTATAAAAACCATTCTGTCTGAGGTCTTAAGGGACATAAATACTCTGTTCAGCCTGTATTTGCAGGTTCATCAGAAATATAGGATTATCTCCAGAGGCTTAAACAGTCTGAATGCCATTCGAGCAAAGCTGGTTCTTATTTTGCATGTTGCTGTATCGATTGCTGTGGTGAGAGCGACCCTGTCACATGCTGTTCTGCCTTGTTTTATTATCCTGGCTGCACCAGACGGAGAAGTTAATTAAACAGATTCCACTGGAGAACATTTGCTTGGAGACTGATTCCCCTTGCCTTGGTCCAAACAAAGAAGTGTAGTCAAAAACATGTAGATTAATCCCTACATTAATGCTCCTTTGAAATGATTTTCCTGAGTTCTAAAGTTTATGTACTTTAAGAGCCTTAGTGCCATGCAACATTTACATATTTTTGTTTTTCTTACTGGCCTGGTCTTATTATTTAATAAAGGAAGAGCCACGAGGAGTTGCAAATATGAAGAAGTAATATGTAAGTCAACATGTTAGCTCTTGGGCTGCTGCTATTGTACATATATGACAGCTGCTCCACTAAAACACAGTGATGGATGCGTTCATCGACACCCCAGGGGAACACTACTGTGTGCTCAGTGTACTGCTGGAGGTGCTGAGCATCCTCCTGGTACTGCTGTGGAGGGGATCACAGCTGGCTGAAGTGCCTGCTGTAACTCACCAAACATGCTAGATGCTCTGGAACAGGTCCTGCTGGAGGAGCTGACCGCTGACTGGTGGTGGTGGCAGTGCTGGCATGGCTGATAGGGGCACTAGATTTGTCTCCCCCAACACCAAAAGGGAGGGAATTCTCTCGGAGAGGTGCTGGGTTTGCAGCTAATCTGGACTAGTTTAAACTGTGCTAGGTGTGCTGCAAAAGAGAACTGCCTGGAGGCGTCTTTGGAGCATGTTTCGCAGTGCTTTCCTAACAAAGGAGCAGAAAAAAGCCCCTTTTGGTGTCTGTCTGGCCGAGTTCCTGTTGAAGTGATTAAACCTGCTGGAATGTTAATATATTTTTCCATAATGTGTTATCACAGCCAGGGGCTTGGGCAGGCACCTTTTATTGTTATTCAGTCTAAACAAAAAAATATTCCCGCTGATTTTTAGTTAAGCGGAGGTCAGCCAGCGTCTTCCCTATCAAATAGGTTTGGACCTTTCTTCCTGCTGATAACTTTTTCAGAGAGAAATTGGGAACTTCCAGCTGTTATTAAACTGTTTGGGTTTCCTCAACTGGTAAAAGTAGCAATGTTTCTCAAGCTTGGGTGGGCAACCTGTCTTTAAAATGCAAGCACATTTCTGTACTAGGCTCTTAATAGATCCAAACCCACATGTCCGTTCCATCCACTATATGAAGGATGTGTGCATATGGGCCAGGCAGGTAAGTTGCAATGAAGCAGCTGGTGAAAGGAAAATTTAGGTCATGTTATCCTAGAAGGGAAGACGATGTTTTGTCCTTATTGCTTTATGCGGTGGTTTCGCCAGCTAGTTGATTCAACATCCTACCCAAGTGGTCTGACACTTGGTATTTTTTTTCTGAACAAATGTTACCATGGCTTTTCTAATCACTGCTGTCGCACAGTCCTTTGATAAGACGTGTTGATGCCATTTGATCTCTCTCACAGAAGAGCTCTGTTGATCAAAATCAAAATCAAAAGGGGAAGAAATGAACCAGAGAGGATCAGGATTGTCTGCCAGTACACTGCTGCAGAGAATGGGCTATCAGTGGGAAGAGTCTGTGAAGTAACAACAAAAAATACCTTGAAGCTTTTCCCAAAAGTTTACCAGTGTTCAAAGGAATGAGTCTTTGTCAAAAATCAGAATGTTCATTAAAGACAACCCTTCTGCATTTCATGAATTTTATTATTTTTTATGTGGACATGTACAGGGTTTTTTGTTTGTTTGTTCCTCTGTGTATAAAGGATTCAGATGGAGGTTACACTTTTTGTAATATATGAAGATGCTATTAATCTCAGTGAATAAAATTCCAATAAATTTTACCTACTCTGTTTGTTCACATGCTTATTTTTTTGTACACAAAAGTTATTTTGTGTACCTAACTTTTTTCTTTTTTTTTCACTTGCTTTGCTAGGAAAATCAGGAATAAAATTCCATTACGTATATGAAATTGACAGCTGTCTACAAAAGGAAAACCAGATGGCAGCATGACAGAAGTGCCAGATGTACATTTCTGCATCTTTTATATAGATGGGGATATCCAGAAGTGCTAATTTCTAATATTATTTACAGAAGAGTAGCCTGCTCACTTAGCATTACCAACATTTTAGACTGTTATTTAGAACTATTCTCTGATCCTTGAGTAAGAGCATACTTTATATGCTTGTTGGTACATAAAAAAAAATAAATTGAATAAAGGTCATTGACAGATATCCCTACTATGGGCAGTCATGTTCCAAAAGAGAGACAAACACCTGGAGTTATGGACAACCTTCAGTTAAGTGCTTTGTATTGCAGATGAGCATTCACTGGGAGACATTATGGCTTAGCTCATGGGAAGAGTGGGCAAATGTTGCTGGAATGAGGACTGCACAGGGGGAAGAGGATGTTTACATCTTCCATGTATTCTCTAATAGCTATTAATTATCTAGCTCAGTTGGAACCTCAGATCTTTTGTTCTGGAATCAATTTCTTAAGCTGCTGTTGTTTTGTTTTGTTTTATTTTGTTCAGTTTTTGTTGTTGTTGTTGTTTAAAGGGCTCATCTGAAAGAGAAGTACCTAGTGTGTTTCTTTCATGGAGTTTTTCTCTGCACCTGAGATCAACGTTTACATTGAAAACTAACAGGGAGTTAAGTGCTTTATAAAATAACATTTAAATTTTTGACTATAAAGACTGAAGTACACGGTTTGAAATATTAACAAAATGAAAAAAATAAAAGAAATGAAAATCCTGGAATCTTAACTGAGTGCTTCACGTACACAAAAATTCTAATTTTATTTTATAAGAAGTGTTGGTATTTTGGCACCATTATACAATCACAGTCCTAGAGAACCAGCTCCTTTGTTCGTTTCAAGTTCCTACCCGTCATGTCAAGTTTTACAAAGATGGTTTGACTTGGATTTTTAGGGGCAGATCTTAGATACTGTTTTGAGGGTTGGAAGAACTTAACTAGGAATTGATATCACTGCAATAATCTAGCTAGGAGTGCTGGGAAGCTAATTACACATTGCAAGCAGCACACTATAACTGGGCTCCCTTTGTTTTGTGAAATGTCCTGATCTGAAACAAAAAGGCATCTTCTGAGTGATGTTTCATCCAACAATGGCATTATCTGAAAGATGAAGTTTGGAAATAGTTGTGAAAATCAATCATCCTTTCAATGGAACATACGTTACAGAGGGAACAGTAACATATTTGGGGTTAGAGGCTAGACTGAAGAAGAACAGCAGCAGTTCTGAGCTGAAATTGTCTTGTAAACCTTGACATCAGTTTTCTGTTTTTAGCTTAATCAAATGTCCATGAAATATAGAGATCCAAGGATGCACATTTTAAGCAAACTCCTGCAAGGGCTATTTCTCACAGGATAACTTTCTCTCTTGTGCAACAACGTCCTTGGCCCTGCTTCTTGGCTTACATCAACCATTTGCACTGCTTCCTCATGTTCAGTGCTTTTTTCATGGCTTCAGTCATCATTCTAAGAAAGGTGTCTAGTTATTTCTTCTGTGCAGGATTCCTGTATAGAAAGAAAACAAAGCCTTGTGTGTTGGACTGTCATACAAAGATGATGCTGTCTGGTTGCTGTGGAACTTGAAACCTCAGACACAGTCTGTAACTGTAGAACAGGCTGACGTTGAACCTTGCTCTGAGAATATCACCTGGCCGTAACTCTGCCTGTTGCACAGAGTCAATGGTGTAACAATAGAAAAGAAAGAATGACAGAAGAACAAAGCCTATTTTCCTGTGTCTTTGGGGAGTAAATTTTATCTTTGGATGGATGTGAGGTCATCCAAATTTCAATGGAAAAAAAAAAGGGATCATGAACAGGTGCTGTTGGAAGTACTTTAAGAGATGTGGTCTCAAGCAAGTTTTCAGATTATTTCTACCACTATGTAACACTGACAAACTAAAGTGAAAGCAGGCTATTCTGGTACTTTGGTAATGTCTGTTTCAGTTCCCCCCACACTTCTTCCTCTCAAAGTCCTCAAGTTTTCAACAAGGCTATGTTGGTACAGCAAAAATTCTGAAGTTGGGCAGAAGAGTTAAGAAAAATTTACCCAGCACCTGATCTGATATAAGAAAAGTACAAACAGATTGGGCTTTTCCTTGGAGTGAATGAAAGAGACACAGAGAACCTGAATCTGATACAGTTAACTGTGTTGCGAAAATAAATAAATAAATATTCACCTTGAGTAGTCTCTAAAAACCCACAGTGCCTGATGTCATCACTACTGTTGCTAAGTGCTCAGGGAAAGCAAACATAGCCAACTTAACATTTTGAAGCATGGGCTCCTAGCACTATTTATGCTGTAAATAAGATCAAGAACTGTGGCTTAGATAGATCACCTGATGTTAACTGAAATACCAATTCATAATTAGTGAGGAAACTTAAGATTGGTGGTTAAGCGCATCTACCACTCATACACAAACCAGCTTAGGCTGTAACATATCCATGAACAATGTGCAGCATGTTATTTGCTGAGTACATGCCGGATGATTTCCCACGTAAGCCAGTAAAATACTTCTAACATTGTTAGCAAACTTAAACATTTCTATATTTTCATAACGCCCTTTGGAGAACAATCCATTTTTTATTATGGTACACTGCCTACGGCAGCAGAATTATAAATCTCGAGGGGGCTGCCAGACACCGCTCCTACACGCCAGGCAGGGCTTAAGGGCAGATGGCTCCTGAGGTAAGCATGGATTGCCTAAACATGCTCCATGCGTGAATCAGCTTTCCGGGTGCGTGTCAAAACAAATTGCAGCAGTTGGGTGGAAATGAGGAAAATTTTTGCCTGAGGCTCTTGAGGCGATGTAGGACTGGGGTGGATGTGTGTTCCCCAGCAATGCACCAGTCCTGGGCACTCCATGCTGGGCCTCCACCTTCGCCGTCCGCTCCTTGCCCCATTGGCATGTTCTTTTGCACTGCAACTGCAAGGAGATAAATGTGCTCCCTGAGGGGCACACTAGCTATTTCTCCTGGCAGTGGTGTGGCGTGGGTGCCTGTGGCACAGGCAGGGCGCAATGTCGGGTAGCAATCTGTGGGATTTGGAGCTGGAGGGTACCCGAGAGCGGAGCTGGAGGTTGCCAGGCGCGGGCTTACACACCTCTGCGTGGGATGCACAAACCCAGAAGGCGCTTACAGGAATGATTTCAGGCCGCTGCTCGCTCAGCGGGGATTATTCACACCGCTTTCTGCCTCCTCGTGCTCCTCAGGCACTTGCCCGAGGCTGGTGCCGCTGAGGCCCTCAGCAGGGCAGGGGAGGAGCAGGGCAGGGGAGGAGCCGCGGCGGGCAGCTCACATGGTACTGCCTCCTCCTCCTCCTCATCCGTGTATTTCCTTGTCACCGCCTCACGCTTGTATTTCCTTCTCACCGCTTCTTCTGTATCCCGGGCGGCTTCCCCGGCCGCTGCAGCCGGGTGACCTTGCGGGGCTGCGGGAGCGGAGCGGGCCGGGCCGGGCAAGCTGAGCGGGGAGCGGGCGGAGATGGCGGAGGGCGGCGAGGACGAGGAGGAGGAGGAGGAGGAAGAGGAGGCGGCGGCGGGGGAGAAGGGGAGATGCTGGGCGCCCCGCCTCAGCACAACGGCTTTCTCCCCGGCAAGGAGGGGGAGAACGGCGGCCCCGGGGGATGCACGGCGCCGGGCGGCCGGCTGGAGACGCGGCTGTCGCGGCGGCGGCTGGCGGTGCTGGGCGTCTTCAGCTGCTACTCGCTGGTGAACGCCTTCCAATGGATCCAGTACAGCATCCTCAGCAACGTCTTCGCCCACTTCTACGGCGTGTCCTTCACGCAGATAGACTGGCTCTCCATGGTCTACATGGTGGCTTACGTGCCCCTCATCCTGCCTGCCACGTGGCTGCTGGATGCCCGTGGGCTGCGCCTCACGGCGCTGCTGGGCGCGGGGCTCAACATGCTGGGCGCCTGGCTCAAGTGTGCCAGCCTGGCACCCGACCGCTACGCCGTCACCATGGCGGCCCAGGCAGTCTGTGCCGTCGCCCAGGTCTTCATCCTTGGGCTGCCCTCACGCGTGGCCTCCGTCTGGTTCGGTCCCTCTGAGGTCTCCACCGCATGCGCCGTGGCCGTGCTGGGCAACCAGGTGAGGGGCGACGGCTTGCAGCCCATGCTGAGGTGGATCAAGGTGGTTGTGGTGTTATAACCAAGTCAGTCTTCCTCGCATGCCCTGGTCCTGCTGGCTTGACAGCCCTGGAGCAGGCACACGTGGAGGTGAGGTGCGGGTCCTCCTCCCCTAGCCTCGTCCTCTGGCCATCCTGGCCGGTGGTCACGGGATGGGGGAATCCCCACCAAGGTCACCGGTGCGGGCTGAGGTCTCGGGGAAGGTTTTGTTCAGGTACCAGAGGTCATGTTTTCCGCCTCCTGAGTTCAGTGGTTTATGTTTGTGCACTTTGGATTATTATGGTGGTAATATTAGTGGTAATACCTGCAGTTAGGGTTGCTTGTTATCACATACCTGTTTGCACTTTTTCCTAATGCTTTTCCAAAGCAATTAATTTTGTGCCGAAGCCTTCCAGTCGACAGGTCAACTGTCCATTTTGGACTGAAGGCTTGTAAAATTGTTTTAGCAGTCCAGGTAAAATCTTCCTTACTGGAATCAGGGTAAAGGTTTTGTTGGCAGCTCCATCTCCACGCTTCGTAACAGCTACTAGTTAGCAGAGGCTCCCCCAGGTAATGGTGAAACTGGGGGTCTGAAACTGGTGCTTTCCTCTGATGCTGAGATGTGGGGCTTCAAGTGGCAAAGGAAGGGAGCAGGAAGGAGCAGAGGGGTTGTCCCAAATCACACCCGTTATCTCTTCAGGTGCTGATTGTTTGCAGCCAAAACAAATCACTGGGAATGCAGCTGTTTACTTGTCAAGGGTTGTTACCAGCATCAGGTTTTCAAAAAGTGTTCAGCTTCTCAGTTTGTACACACCAGACTCGTTGCCACTCTAAAAGGCTGGGCTCTTAAAGGCTGGACTAGATGATCTTAGAGTTCTCTTTGAACCTGAATGATTCTTGATCTCTATGATTCTTGATCCTTCTGGCTGTAATTTCTGTACTGCAGTTTTCCATATGTAAAAGGTGGAAAATGGTGTCACTATTGGGACATTGTGGGTGCTATACTGGGTCACACAGAGGCTGGGGGCACCCATATACCTTAGGAAAAAGTGTAATAGCTTACTTATTTCCTACTTGCTAGTTTTGTGTACTAAAAGGTGATGATCATAACAAGAAACGAATTCTTCAGATGAGTGATGGGTACTGGGTAAATCTGATGGTCAGTTAAAAAAAAGCAAGAAAAGTCTTGCAGGGTACATGCACAAAGGCTGCTTTGTGCGCTTAAATTCAGAGTCGAATTTACTGCTCTAACAGTCCTTTTTATTAACCTGAAATGGATGCAAGTTTTTTAATCTAAAAAACTTGTTCCAGCACTTAAAAATGCAACTTAGTTTTGGAGGAGTAGCAGAGACAAATTGGAGAGTGATTTCAGGCTGTTGTTTCGTGATGTTTTCAAATGCTTTATACGTGTACCCAAAATGTAAGTCCTTGTTTTTTGTCTTTCTTTAATATAAAATCATTGCTACATTGCAATGGACTCCAAATGCAAACTCAGTGCTACTTTGTTTTGTAATTCTTCTTTCTTTCCCTAGCAATAACTGCAGATTTAGATCTCTTTTTGTATTTATTGATAAGGTTACACCATTTCCCTTGTTCTTCTCTATCAGTTCTCCAGTAAGTCTTTCATGTTGGTCTTTATTTCTGTAGTGGCAGGATTGTGACATAAAATGCAGAATATTGATCAAGAAAAAGAGAAAAGCATTTCCAAAGAAGCAGCTGGAATCTTCTATCTCATCCCTACTCCTTCTGTTACAGGATGACCAACACAAATTTATGTGCATGCATGCCATTTCCTTGTAAAATGTTCTTCTGGAAGGAAAACAAACAAACAAACAGAAAAACCTTTCTTAATGCTTATTTGTTAAGTGGGCTATATTTTAAGTGCAGCATTGTATCTTAATTTAGAAATGAAAAGGTAAAAAAAAATATAATCCTGAGCTATCAGAAAAATTGTCTGTGAAATATCATTAACAGTAAATGACGAAGTATTATACTAAAGGAGCGCTTTTCCTTTGTAGATTTTATTAATGCTTATGATGATACAAATTCTGAATTTTACCTGGTAACGATTTTGCTTCTGTTAATTTTTATGCTTGCAGGAAATTTATTGTTACCTTTCTTTTCTTGCTTTACAGCTTGGCACTGCGATTGGCTTTTTGGTGCCACCTGTTTTGGTTCCAAACACACCGAATGATATTGATCTAATGGCACATAATATAAGCATCATGTTCTATGGAACAGCGATAGTATCCACACTTCTGTTCTTCTTAACGGGAGTTGGTGAGTGTTCTTTCCTTACAGTTTAAGTGCTGTGGCCGTAGGGAGTGTTTACACCATCATACTTCAAGCATCTAACTTCTCTCAGAGTAGCTGAGGTTTTCTCAGGTTTACTTGTGCTCGCTTGTCTCTTAACCCTGGTCACAGCAGATGAATTGTTTACTGTGTCATGCTTCACGTGGAGCAACCTCTCTAAGGATATGCAGGTTGTTTTTTGTAGCTACCTGCCACAAGGACATTGTGATATAGCGCAAATTCTTTCTGTTATTCTGACAATTCAGATACAAAGGTCTAGACATGTTGCAGATGCAGTCTATCTCTGACCACACGTTGGTAGCAATTGCGTGTGAACAAATAATTGGGGCACCTATTGTGGCTGTGACTTGTTTCTTGCATGAGAAAAATCTAAAAAAAAAATACATATACATAATGTTTTATGGGAGTGATAAAGAAAACAAATCAATCTTGTGAAATTCATTGATATAAGAACAGTTCACACTTTAAAAAAAAAAAAAAAAGAATTACTGTGGTAAGGACAGATCAAAATCTTTTTATTTTTCCCCAGTGTTTGAAGAAAAGCCTAAATATCCTCCTAGTCACTCTCAAGCACTTCTGCAAGCTCTGCCTCCTGAGGATTATTCCTACAAGCAGTCGATTATTAACTTAGTCAAAAATATTCCGTTTGTACTGCTGCTGATCAGCTACGGTAAGTGGTGATGTCTGGCTGTTGTCTGGCAGAGCAGTTGTGATATGTGCCGAAAGCACGCTGAGTTTTAATTGACTTGTTTTGTGTGTGTGCGTGTCAAATGTTCACCTATTCAGCAGCCTGTGCTGGAAAGGCCAGCAGTATTTAAAACAGCAGTTATAGATCTGGAGGAGAGATCTCACCTAGTAGATAAAAGGTGTTTTTTCCTCGCACTTCAGTCTTGAATATCAGAAGATTAACTCTTGGTGGTAGCAGATCTGCACAACTAGACCTGGAATGGCTGATGCTCTTCTTTTGCTATTGCAGGCATTATGACTGGAGCATTTTATTCCGTCTCCACGTTATTAAACCAGATGATAGTAACTTATTATGAGGTAAGTTTTTTTGTTTTGTTTTGTTTTTTAAAGTTTACATTTGCAGAGGTGATGTTTTTTATTATTTAGGTGCTATGTGCGCTCAGACATTTGGTTTCCTTTATCCCCCCCGTACGGTTTCTTGCATCATACAGCTATGGGAGTCGTAGGAATGTTTGTTTGCACTTATGACTGCCAAGAGGTCTGAACTTGACTCTGAGTGGAAGCAAGTTATTAATGAGCACCGTATAAATATCTGTTGAAAGGGAGAAGAAGTGAACGCTGGGAGAATTGGCTTGACACTGGTGGTGGCAGGAATGGTGGGTTCGATTATTTGTGGTTTGTGGCTGGATTACACTAAAACATACAAGTAAGTGTGGGTAGGCATCTATGGGGCTAGGGGTAGGAGACGGTGCATTAGAAAAATACTGCAAGGGTGGAGGTAAACTGATGATAAAATGCAGCACATCCCTGATCTTACAGCAGCCTTGATAGCGACAAGTTTCTAAGGCTACAGCAAAAGCTTGAGACTCTCCTACTGGTTTTTGGCCAAAAGAAACAAGATAGGGTGTGCTCTAGACAATGCAAAGACATAAAAGGGGTTACAATCTACTCCTGTCTCTGCAAGGACTGTAATGCTGGCAAGGAAATCGTTGTGTGTCCTACATGTATATACAGTGGTCAGGTGGCCCAGGAGGCTCCTTCTCCAGGAAAAGCACAAAGGCTTACCCTGCCTTATTTTATAAAATTGATAGTTGATGGATTCTCAGTTCTTGTACTACTCCTGGGCCTGTTAAGAAGCACAACATTTGCTTTAATTCAGGGGGTGACCATGCAGCAGAACTCTGTTCTGGGGTAAGAGTTCCAGGGTCCGTCACCCACGGTGTGATACGCCCCCCAGGAGCGGGCAGGGCCCTGGAGCACTGCTTGCAATGAAGAAGTTGTCCCTTGGTGACTCAGTACATTACGTGCAAGAGCTCTAGAAACCTAATGGATGTTACTGCTGTAGGTTGGCTTTGTTTCTGCATGTCTTCTGGCTTATAAATAGGAAATAGGTGCTTTAGTACTTTGGATGACGTCCCTTATACCAGATTTAAAATAAATAAAACATTTTAATGAGATTTGTTTGGCTTGCCTCTTAGACTGATTTTTATCACTAATAGTGTTCGATTTGGCTGCTGCTGTTTTGATCTTTTTATAATGGACCGTGCTGCAGAATGGCCAAGAGGTACAGCATAGTGGAGAACTAAAATGGTCTTGAGGTAATGGTTTCTGGTGTGATTGTTCATTCTTTAAGAGTGAGTAATTCTCTAAGCCTTGAGTGAAGCAGCCATATAACTAAGGCAATAAGCAGTTGGGGAAGGGTTATATTCTCACTGAAATGCATGATGTGTTTGAGGCAGAATCACATGAAGCAAATTTAATTACTGTAGAATGTCAGTTGTTAGCAAGAGTAAGAAATTGTTATATTACTTTTCTGTACTTCGGCAATGTGCCAAATGACCTTATGTTAACAGTGTAATTTTGTTGTTGTTGGGTTGCAGGCAAACCACTCTGATTGTTTACATCCTCTCTTTCATTGGGTTGGTGGTATTCACATTCACCCTGAACCTTGGACATCTCATAATAGTGTTTGTGACTGGAGGAGTACTTGGGTGAGTAATTAAAGGGGTCTAGAAGACTTACTGGAGTTCTGTTCAGAACCAGTATTTCCACAGCAGCTTCTAACAGCCATTCCAGTGTCTGGCCATACTCTGTTGATGGTCTTTTTTATCATCTAGCATGGATGTTAAGGCTAATCGAGCTCTGATGTTCATGTATGCCTTTCATGTGAAATTGATTTCAGTTATGGAGTTGTTTGTGAACTGGTCAGAGAAGGTTGTTTTGTGTATATGGAGCGGAATAACGGTTGTTATGGGGAACAGAACAAATATAAACATCTTTTTAAACATTTATAAACATTTTTTTGTCCTGGAAAGAGGGGTATATGGTTAAAATTGTTGGATGAGGCAGGCAAAGCAAGGTCAAATCATATTAGGTCTTGAAAGCAGACAGTTCAGAGTACCAACTAATTCAGAGTACCAGTGGTTTGTCTAATTTTCATAGCCATAGTCATAGATGAAAGCCAAACCCATCACCCTCTTGTTTTCTTCAACAGGTTCTTCATGACTGGCTATCTCCCACTTGGGTTTGAATTTGCGGTGGAAATTACGTACCCAGAGTCTGAAGGCACTTCGTCAGGTCTCCTTAATGCTTCAGCACAGGTTATATCACTATTTCTTCAAGTGAAGTAATGTTCAGGAAAGCTGCTCTGCTATAATCTAATAAGTCTTTCTTATATTTGGCAGCTAAAGTCTCCATTATGTTGCTGTAGTTGTCTCACTTTTTTTTGTAAGGTGTCTGAAGTTTTGCAAGGTAAACTGATGACTCTTTTCTACGTGGTACTGATGAAGAGACTTTTTCTTTGTAGATATTTGGAATTGTCTTTACACTTGTTCAAGGGAAGCTTACAACAGACTACAGTCCTCGTGCGGGAAACCTCTTTCTTTGTGCTTGGCTGTTTGTGGGCATTATCTTAACAGGTAATTAATCAGAAACGTAAGTGATGATTTATCTTTAATGCAAAAATGTGTGTGTTTTTTTTTTGAGATCTCAGACACCTAGGATTTAAATATTTGACTTCGTGTCTGGATGGAGGACAAATGTTACTAATAAGCGCAGGGTTTTTTGTTTTGTTTTTAAATACTTGCTCTGTACACACCTTTTAAGGATGATGTTGCTAATAACTAGAACAATCCACCACCCATTTCTTGAGTCATGTCCTGAATTTGAGGCAGATGTCTGTCTTCTGAGTAGGATAGCGAACATAAATAAACGCAGAAATGCAGACAGTTTGCAGTTTTTCAAATATAAGAAATTGCAGATTTATTACTAAATTGTAGCAGTGATTTATACATGCCAGTACCTAGAAGTATGCTGGAAGAGCAAAAAAACATCAGCCTTTGTTTTAAAAGTGCTCATGATTTAAAAGCTTTTATTGTCATTTTCTGCATGTGATTTGTGAGGAGCAAGTTCAGATTGTCACCAAGTTCAAACTGCAAAAGAGTGAATTCAGGTACTTTGAGTATGCGCTGAAAGCAGCTGCTGTGTGCGTGCACTGTACAAACCCTTCTCTTGAAGTGCTTGTCATTACAAAGCTGGAAATTAACTTTCTGTCTTCTCTTGCTTCCCCCTGACCCCAGCCTTAATAAAATCAGATTTGCGAAGACACAATGTGAATTCAGGGATTATGAATATGGACGCTAAACCTGTAAGTGATGACTCTTTTACCTTGATTATATTACTGTATTTGCATGATGACTTCTATTGGCATAATAATATTAACATCAAAAGAGTAATTGACAAAAACTTACTGTGTGACTGTTCCCATGCTATTCTGCAGTGACAGAACCACATGGGATCCTGCTCTCAGGCATGTTTCTCTCATAGCTTCCATGAACAATCTAAGAAACTTTCTGCTATCAGGCTTCCCTGAATTTTAAGTAGCTAGTATTCATCCTTTGATTTTGTTTCTTGAGTCTAGTTTTGCAGCAGGCTTGGGTCAGTTCATGTTTACTGTAGGCAGTGGTCTGTGACTGTTCTGTTTTCCCTTATTACCTTGTTAATCAACTAGAGCGTCACACAACTTCATTAATACTACCCACGATAAAAGAAAAGCATGGAGACCTCCCCCCAGGATTATCATAAACAGTTGAGAGTTGCCTGTGTTAATAAAGGTACAATGTCTGCCTGTGTAAATAAAGGTAAAATAATACACTTCTTCCAAACCGTAGTCGTGACGATTCTCTTGTATTTAAGTGTAATGGAAAAAAACAAAAAACAAAGAAAGTTAATCTCCATGTGATAAAAATCTATAGCCAGTAAGCATATATTTTAGTTATTTTAAAACTCAATTTTATTTTTTTGTTTGCTTCTTTTAAAAATTGTAAAGAGAAGGGAAAATATGGATTTCTATAAATGTGTGATTCAGCTAATTAACAACATACACTACTGTTGGTGAACCTAATAATTACCCAAGAGTACTGAGATTGAAAATAGCTTCTGCTGTATAACAGTTTAATTCCTGATTTTATTTTTTCTTCTCCCAGGTACCAGTTGACAGTCCTGTAGAACATGAAAATTGTACTGCTTTAAAAATCCAATCAGATTTATAAATCTGAAAGAAGATGACTTAGAAACACAAAAGTTTGGTTGAAGACCGAACAATATTAAATACTGTAATCACTTATATGGACTTATATGAGTAGTAAAATGTATTAGGTGATGAATTCATTGGTGATTTTGTAGTGGAAACTGGAAGTGGTCAGTTCATTTCAACCAAGATGCAAACGACCCAACTTTGTATGGAATATTTATTTTAATGGCTTTCAAGTTATGCAGTTTCACCGGTGAAGAACTGTTTGAATGCTCTCCACTCTAGGAAGAAATGTACATCCATGATGCACACTAAAAAGATCTGGAATCCTAAAGTATGCTCATGATCAGAAGTATTTTTGATTTCAAGGGGGAGAGGGAGAAAAGTTGATTTCTTCTTCAGTCCTTTCTAGTCCATTTGGAAAGTCAGAGTACGTATAGCTGCATGACTGAGTGTATTCATATTCTTTTTTATTTTTTTAATTTTTATGTTTTTTAAATGTCTCTGAAGTAAGCCAATAGTCCCTTCTGGGAAACTGTTTATAGCACAAGACTGAAAACAGGAGATAACTACAAATGTGAGTTTTTTGAGTTTCTTTTGCCTGGAAAGTTCTTGATGGATATCAGAAGGCAGGTGAGGGAAAAACAAACAAACCCACAACATGTTTCTTATTTAATACAGTAAAAAGGAGAAAGACCATGGATATCTCTACTGTGAAGTATTTATAGGCAACGGAATGCTACTGCACGGGTTTCTTCCTGAATATTTTGAGTGCTTTCTCAGTTAAAGTGAGAGGAACATGTGTTTACAAAATGGTGGTGCCTTTACTTTGTAAAGAAGATACCTGCCTCCTCTTGAGTTGAACTAGTGCTGCTAAAGAAATTCCGTTTTGCATGTTAAACTTCTGGAATATGTGTGGAGTATCAGAAAATGTGTTCTGTCTTTTTTTCCCATTTATTTCTCTGTGTTATGAATCATATCATTTATCTCCTGTGAATTTTTTATGCTTATTGTATAACTTTGTGCTCATATGAAATGAGACATGATTTACGGTTAAAAGCTGTAAGGATGACTGAAAGGAAAATAATGTTTTTCTCTGTCTGAGAAATTTGCTGTTTAAGTCATGCATCTTAGATGGAACAGACTTCCTTGCCGTTCAGTTTGTGTTATTACACTTACCTGAATTTGGGAAGTGGATTTCACTGCAGTGCTTTTGAAAATATTGCCCTTTCCCCTGTGCTCTGTAAACCCAACTACGGAACTGCTGGCAGTACTGTAATGCCAAGGCTCTGCTGTTACTGAAGAGTCAAACCAGAGCTAGCAGCATTTAGGCTTTGGCAGCCTTTAAGTTGAGGCTGCAGTTTCGGCACCACCAGTGATGGAGCCGCTGAGTTCCCACAGATGTAGCGCGATCCAGAAGGTGGAATCCTGCTTGAAGTTTCCCATGGATTAATACAGTGAGGTATGGGGAACTGTTTAACTCCCAAGACAGACTTTCAACGTGATGAGTATAATTAAATGCTTTTTTTCCCCCCATTATAGATGTAGAGAATCTTTATATTAAAAGGAACCTCTAAATGCATCTTTCTAAGCTTGGCCTCTAAACTTTGTGCTTAATTTGGCATTTTGTGTGATAAATGCTTCAGACAGGAGAAGACTGAATGGCAGTGTATGCACCAGAAAAAGACAGGTATGTTTGGAACACCTGTCTTTCGAAAAAGGGTCTGTGCCTCTTCGTGGGGTCAAATGCTAGAGAGAAAATTGGCACGCCTTGCTGCTTCTGGGCAAGCGAGAAGAGTCCTCTGGTGAGGGAGCTGAATAGAGGAAAAGTAGATATTCAAATGGCAGGTGAAATCATAGGAGGGGAGGCAGAGAGATTTTCTTTATGTCAGTTCTTTACGTTGAATGACTTGCTCTGATACAGGCTGGCCCAGACAGGGCAATATGCACTTTCACTCTGAGAGAGCAAAGAGAAAGTTTCTGCCTTTTGATATCCGGGGGTGGCTTTTGCCTTTGGAGAAGTGATTACACTATGATATATATAAAACTATTCCACAAGATACAGATTCAGTAACTATGGCCTGTATTTGTCGCCTGTGGTTTCTATGTACTTCTGCTGTTGCAAAACTTTAGCAAGACCTCTCTGCAGGTTTGGGGAAGTGCTTTCAACTGCCCAGCAGAAAGTCTTTAGCAGTCTGCAGAATGCTTTCTGTGTCTGGTACACACTGTTCAAATTCCAGGATTGAGCTCTTTTTTTTTTTTTTTTAATTTATTTTTAAAATTCCTTTCCTCACTAGTTTCCAGTACCTTCCAGTTTCTTTGGTTCTGTTTAGTTGATTATTGAAAAATATTCCAGCCCCGCTGCCTCCTTGTGTTTTTTATCTTCTGCCAAATTACTTGGCTACCCCCTGAAAATGTCCAAACAAGCTTTATGGCATGCTGGAAAGCCTGCTGGGTCCCTGAAAATAAAATATTTCTAATAATGAAGGCTTAATTACATCCTGGATTTAATACTCCTCAAAAAGAACTTGAAAGTTGGAAACTTGTGAGCGTGTATTTATCTGAAAGTTATTTCTGGGCAAGAATTAAGTATGTAAATAAAAGGCTCAGTAGTAAAGTGAAGAACAAATAAACCAATATTTTATGCAATAATCTTGTCATCTGTTTATCAAGAAACTGAGGCTCTACCTCATGGCAGAAGCAGGTTTGTGGTTGTCGGGGCTTTATGTTCTGTGCTTTTAATTTTTGTTTTTAAATAATATCCATTAAATCTGATGTCAGACAGGAAATAGGGTTTCTGACTCTATGAGCCTTGGGATTCTGGCTCAACCCTGCCCTAGCTGAAGTGGAAGATTAAAAGAAGTAATCAGTTAATGAATGGAGTTCTGTGTGTCAAGAGGAAGGAATTGGAAACCAAACGAGGAGAAACCTCCCAGTCCCACGCATTGATGTTTGCTTTTAAGTATTCTTATCTTGTGGGTGCTTCAGGGGAACTCCGGAGGATGTAAGAGACTCCATGTGATTTTGAGCAGAAACAAGAGCTCCGCTCCTGAATCACCAGAGGCCCACCAGTGTGCATACCTCCAGCTACAAGGTGCAGAGATCAGCTGTCGGAATCGCTGCAGGAGGAATTCTGCACTTCGCTTGTAAGAGACAAGCGGCAGTGTATTTACTGATGAAAGCAGCGCTTTGGCAGGGCTGAGCTGTGAATGAGACAAGGATTTGACAAAGCTCACATGGTGAAACATGACGTTAACAGGATTTGCAGTGGCAAGGTCTTGATGATTTTTACTGCACCAAGGACAAGGTCAGACTAAAAGCGTCAGGGAGAGCCTCACGGTGAGGGTCAGAGCGGAGTCTCTGCTGCCATCCAAACTCCAAGGAGTCTGCATGTGGCTGGCTCCTGTCCTGATTCTAGATTCAAGAGTTTATGAATAAAGGATGATGTGCACAATCAATTTTTTGTCACCTAGCTAAGATTACAAAGTTTCAGCCTGCTTAGCAAGTTACTTGCAAAGTTTCACCAAGCTAGCTATTAGTCACTTCCTGAGTGTCACTCACAGGCAAGGAATCTCTTGACCTGGAGGAGTGACCTGGAGGGGTGTCCCTGCTCCAGGGGAAGCTCCTGGCACGCAGGAGGGCTCCATGAGCTCTGGGCTGTCCCTGTGTTATTGGGGTGAGGTGATGACTACTAGTCCTATTTGCATGCCAGCCAGATTTGGTTGGTGCGTGCCTGTTAGTCCTTGGGTCTGTCTCCTCCGAATCCACCTTGGGCCTGGTTTGTCACCATCACAGTTCATCATGGTCACCACTGATGGTTATCGTCTGAGCTGGGTTACATGTGCATGAGTATTTTATTTTGTAGGTGAATGCTTGTCCTTAATGACATCTCTTCCTGTTGCTAAATGCCTGTGTTTAAGAAGGAAGAATGAGGGAGGTGGGAAGAATACACACAAATCATTTCGGGTTAGCATCACTGAAGAGTGTAGTTACAGCTACCAGCCTATGTTCCCCTATGAAAAATGCCTTTTGAAAGATCTTTGGGCTATCTTGTGCATCTATGACCAAGTGGAATTGGGTTAAGCTATGAATATTTACTGCTCTCATTTTCTATTCCCTGAACTCATGTCTTTTGCTGTGTGAATGGGAACGTGTGACCTTTTTGGTTGCTGTCTTGCTGTACGTTTATGTGCCACCTTCTGAAGTGTCTAAGACTGCCAATGATTCATAGACCACAAGCTAAGCTGTTGTGTCCCATGTGATTTCCCCCACCACCATGCAGCCTGAAGTCTGTGAAGGGAAGGAGATGAAGTTAATGCATGAAATGGAATGAAGTAAGCAAAAATATGCCTAAGAGAGATGCATTTCTTTGTAAGACCCATGTTATTCACTGCTCCTGTCTTTGTTCTCCTCATGAAGATAGCAAAGATTTTTGCTGTATTTTTTTTTCTGTTGTTGTTACTGTCCCGTTCTATGTTTCAAAAGATAATAAATAATGCCTATGAGTATTCTCTGAATGCAATATTGTACATATGTGTTTCCGTGGGTGGAATCATTCAGCATATAACCATTATATGTTACTAATAAAGTGTGTAGCATGCAACTCTGTTGGAGCCAGAATTACCATTTTTGACAGCTACTGACACACGTAATGGTCTAAAATTGATCGTTTTCCTTGCAAAAGCTGTCATTTAATTTAGGAAACTTTACATGTGAATTATACTGCGTGCCATTAATAAACATGCATGCATACTTATGCAGACTGCATGTATTTAGGGTACATAAATATCCTAAACATGGCTTCTGGCTTACAGAGAACATTTGTCAGTATATTTTATCCTCAAGTGTTTAGTATCAATTCCCAGGACATGATCTGTGAGCCAAGCAAGTTTGAGGAACCAGCTTCAAAGAAAGTGGAGTCACTGTAAGACAATAACTATATTTTCTTTTATATTTTTTTACCTCTCTTCTCCGCAAAGCTCTGAGTGGTTGTTATATAAGAGCCTCTTGCCAGAGGAGGCTGCGGGTGGTGCAGAGCACGGGATGCACCAGCCTTTAGTGGCAAAGCAACGCTAGCATCCAGTCACATTTGGTTAGGACTATAAGGTCACGCTGCTCTTGCAGTATCTCTGTGAAAGCTGTAGGCTATATCCCCATTTAGCGCTGCATTTTAAACATTTCCCCAGCTGGAGAGGAACAATCAGAGCAAATTATCATTGCCTGAAAGGTTGTTGTTGGGCAGACACTCAGTCTTGGGATAAAACACCAGGAAGGTCATCAGGTAACAGGGAGATGTGAAGTCATCCTGACGATGAATCAAATGAATCAAATGCATTCTTGAGGGAAAATCTTTTTTTTTTTTTTTTTTTTAATTATTTCTATAGTTGGGGTGAGACCCTATGTATCCCAAACTAACAAGTGTTATCCCTTCCAGAAAGTGATGCACTTTGTGCACAGATAAAATGCACAGGTGCCGAATGCTCCATTTCCTATGCTGAAAAGGTTTCTTAGAAGCTTGTTGTATTTCCTCCCTGCTGCCTTTGACAATGAGCTAACCTCATCTGACCTTCTTCTGAATCAATATTCACATCTTTGCTTAAACAACATCTTTCAGAAGACAAAACAATAACAGCCCGGCCTTTGTATAAAGTCCTTCAGCAATTATATCTCAGTAAAAAAAAAAAAAAAAAAAAAAAAGGTAAAATACTGGCAACGTTCAGACATAGCTACTGATTTGTGAGGCTGCCTGTGGAGTATCAGGTATTGTCAATATTCTATGATGCTGATTTTTTGCATCTGCTCTGCTTTCAAAGGTTATGCAGGGAGCTACTAAACCCTGATTCTTGGAGAGCAGCATGTCTTAGGGACATCAGGAGCTAACCCTGGTTCTCAGAGCCCTGTGGAAGTTGCTGGGGAAAAATCCCACAGATTCAAGGCTTCAGAAGTTCTGCACTAGGCTGAACCAGAAACTTTCCAGTCTTATTTTATTTTATTTTATTTTATTGGAAGAGGGAAATCCTGAAGTTGCTGATGTGCTGATCATTAGTTTCGATAAGGTAGCATGGGGATTGCGGATGAGTGCGAAGCTCCTTACTCTTTTACAAACTAAATTGTCTAGCTGGTGCCAAGGGAAAAAAATAATTATATATATATATATATATATATATATATATATATATATATATATATATAATATATATAATATAATATATATACATTATATATTATATATTTATATATATATATATATATATATATATATATATATAATATATATATATATATATATATATAAGTGCCCTTTCTGTGCCTGTACATGCTGGTGTTCTCCATTAATTCCTTGGAATGTAACTTAATTTCCTCAGAATAATTCATCAGCTAATTCTGAACAACCCTCCAGGCACTGGAGGAAAGCTGCATCCTGTCCTGAAGGAACAAACTTCATCCTACTGGGGGGAGAATGACCAGCTCTGTGGGACTTGAATTTGTGTATCTGAAATTCACTCAGCAGCCTATTGCTTAAAACCTGACATTCATGTGGAGGCTAATGCTTAAAGCCCCCAAACGCTGTAATTTCTCATCTTGTCACAAGCTTCAAAAGGGTAGAGGAGCTCTCAGAGGCTCGGAGCTCGACAAAGCCTCCCAAACCAGGCAGTCGTCAGGGGAGACAAGGAAGTCCTTCAGCTTTTGGGGAACAAAGAGCTGTGCTGGGGGTGATTTTCCTCTGACGCGCTTCATCTGCTCAGCCACAAGCTGTGGGCAGCTCGCTAGGCCTGCGATGTCTGTGTGCATGAAGAGCACACAGAGCGTTATGAAACCTCCTTGATGTCCACAGCTTGCGTGATCACACTCGTGACGCTCCTATTTGTGATCCCAAAAGCAGAAACGGCTCTGCAGGCTTCTCGAGTTTCCTAGTTACCTCTGAAAATGAATGTGATTCACCTGATAGCAAATAATGTGGATCACAGAAAATAAAAAAATCATTTTGCTCCAGATGATTATGTTTCATCAGAGAGCTTTAAGTTTTCTAATGGACCACAGTATTTGAACTTTTCTCTTATCTGCAGGTGTTTCTGCAGAGTTTTGGCTACTGTTCAGTCATTGATTTCTAGAAAGGGAGGATTTTAATCTGTGGAGCACTGGCTTCCAATGACGCTTGAAGTAACACTCCAGGTCAAAAGCTGTTTGAAAAAAAACATCAGTATTGCAGTGTTACTTTTTTGTACCTTGGAATGGGAACGATGAATCACACGTTTCTCTCTTTGCAGGTTTCACAAGGCACCTAAATCCAAGGTACATTTTATTGCCAAATAAAATTGTGCTTGGCACATTTTATTGCCAAACCTGATCACTTTTCCAGCCCACTTTCAAATTCTTTCAAATGCTGCCTCGAAAGACATTGGAGGACAATCTGTAAGGACAACATTTGCTCAGAGTGTTTCCTAAGCAGCATCATGCAATTCTTAGAGGGCAAAGGGTGCCCTGTAACAGAGCTACATTGCTTAATTGATTTTTAAGCAGCAACAACGATTCGGTTTTGTGCTTCTGATCTCAAGCAAATGATGTTTGCAGGGCAGCCTGCTCCTCTCTGTGTGCAGGCAGCTCACCTGGCAGTAGAGGTCAGTCCTGACTCACCTCTGTTCACCCACAGCTCCCTTGTGACAAGGGCTGGGGTGCTGCCAATAACTGAAAAGAGATCTTGTTTCGGAGTAGCAGATCCTTTTTATTTATCTTTTTTTAGCAATTACCTCTCTTTGTTACCTGTACTTCTATTATGCAGTTCCCCCAAGCAGAGTGATGGTGCTGGGTGGTTCACCCTCTGGCTGAAGGTTATGGAGGAAGTAAGCAGTCCAAAAAGTTGGCTTGTGTAGATTTATGGAAGGTTACGTTAACATTTCCTTGTTTTTTACAAGCAGATCTTGCTGTGGAGATATGCAATGTGCTGGCAAGTAAGACCTTCACAGCAAGCTGTGCTAATGCAAACATTTCCCCACCCTACAGCAATATTTGGGGCTGAAGCCTTGGAACAAGACTGAAGGACCAAGGCCGGCAGGGATGCTGGTGTTGTACCATTCAGGATCAGGGATCTCAGCTGTATCAGGTGCTAACAGCTGTAAATCGGAGCGAGGTGTCTGTGACAGGGGGCTCAGGCCAAGCAGCACACGCAGCAGGGGATAGAAGGAGACCTGCAAGGGACAGAAGGAGAAATTAGGGGTGGGCAGCATGCTAGGTCTGATTTATAGCTTTTGGCTTCTTATGCTGGAAATCTTGCCTGTTGGATTAGACTGAGATCAAGCGGAGCTCAAACAAACCCACCTAAAATAAACACTGTAATGTTTTGTCATGGTAGAATTAGCGCAGGAGGTCCTGGATTTGCCCAGGAAATCAAAAGGCACCGCTGATGTTCTTCCTTGCTAAAACCAGTGTTTGAAGAACAGCGTGTAAAGTTTTCAGAAAGGGTTACCTTGGGGAAAGCTCCAAAGCAGCACACCCTCAAGCCTTCCTTTCATAGCTTTCTATTTTCTTTTTAAAGTCTTTTTAAAGTCCACTTTACATGTTTATTTTCCCAGCTTTTATGGCCACATTGATTTATACATAAAGTTATCGTTCTTAGCGGTTACGCAAACCACTTGTGCAAACTTGCTTCGACAGCCATTATCATATTGCCATGGTTACAGCCTTATCACCATTTAACCTCGCATTTCATTACTAACAAAATCCAATGCTGGCCTAACTTCCAGTTTAGGAAAAGAAAGCCCAAACTAACAAGTTTCATTTCCCTTTTCAGGCCATCACTGCATGGGCAGGTTTGCTGGGTTTGCTCCCGTGCACGGGTGCGGTTCCTTGCGGCAGTGCTGAGGGGATGCTTGTGGAGGAGAAGGCTTCCTGGAAGCAGCGCCAGTGCTAATATCACCTTGCTGCCGCGGTGCAATTAAGAGGCATTAATTTTCCCTCAGTCGGTTGTGTAATTGCGCTGCAGGGCCTTCTGAATACTGCGTGTAAATGAGTCCGCAATTGGAACTAATGAAGGTTAAAACCCTCTTGCATGACTTTATGATCAAATTAGTTCCTTTGGCCCAGAAAACAGCTGCGGTAGCAACACGCTCTGCATTAGGAACAAGACCACAGGTTAACTCCGTGCTACTCAGTGCCGGCCTTACAAAGGTACCTCATTCCAAAGGGTTGGCACTTCAAAACCGAAAGGCCGCTCTGCTCCGGGGTACTGCAGCAAGGCATGCTGTAGTTTTCCCCCAAAAAATCAGCCTGGCTGTGCAGACAGGCCAGCAGCATGAGCACAAGCCATGGCCATGCCCTGGGAGAAGACCAGTGACGACAGCAGGTGACAGCACCGATCTGGGCTCTGTTCTTGTGGGCAGCAAAGCAAGGGGTAACGGGTGTTGCCAGCTCCTTGGGAAGGACTCCACATGTATTTCCATTGGTGCTGGACTTTGGGGGTCCAAATCCGTTCCGTTAGGCTGTCATTTTGAAGCTGACATTAGCTCTGGGACCTCAGCAA